TGGCCCAAACCCAAAGTCACCCTGGTGATCTGACAATGGTCCACACTTAGAATGCTGCCTTTTGCAGAATCTGGTCATTCACATCACCCCATGTCAGGGTGAGCCTTTCACCACATCTCCTGTGAAAAGATGAGTCCACATCTCTGTGTCCCCTCCTCACTGCCAAGCAGAAAGTGACAGGTCTGGCCACAGGAGGTCATGGGGAGTCATGTATGAAGGACAAATTTGGGCAGGATGTAACAAAATCCACTGGGGTTAACCCTCTGAGAGGCTCACACCCTATATCCTCAGCAAGATTTCCACCCCTGCTCCTGACCCTTACACCCAGGATCACTTCCTGGAGTTCAGAACAGCCTTTCCCAGGTGGGTATAGAGGCAGGTCCTCTGCTCCCAGCTGGGGATCACAGAGCTTTTCTGTTGACTGGTGTAAGTGTGGGGGCTTCCCTCCTTCCAAGCCCTCTTCTCTACCCACTTTCCACGACCTTATTTGGACAGGCCTCCCATGGAGGAAACATCAATCCCATCCCTAGGTCCTGTCCCTCCCAACTGGATTYCCAGCATGGTGGCACTTCCCAGACTATGGACCCTCCTTTAGGAGTCTGCTCCAATGCACATTATGCGATCTAGCTTCAGGATCAAATAGGAACAGAAGGATAGGTTATTGAACTTCCAGTGTCTTATTAACCATGAGAGTTTCAGTGTCTGGTAGGTGCAAATTTCCTGTAACTGGTCTGCAGAGGGTGCTCTCCCCCATCTTACTCACCTCAGCACCAGTTCCAGGTGGCCCTTGAGGAGGAAGATATCATTGGCACAGAACTTCCACAGGCAGTCCATCCTGAGGAACTGTGAGGTGAGCTGGGCGAGCAGCTGCTCCTGCTCCTCTTGGGAGGTGTAGGCAGGCACATAGACCTGGGAGACAAGCAGCTTCCTCAGATTCCTCATATGGCCCAAGAAAGGAGCAAAAGCAGCCAAGCTGGAGGCCGCCCAGGTGCAGTGCACTTCCACCTTCTGGACAGAGTCCAGCTGCAGCAGTCTCAGGACCTTCCTGGTGTGGCTGGTGGGTTTCCCAAAGATCTTCAGGATATTGCAACAAAGGTGCAGCCTGTCCCTTCTCTGTGTGACCCACAGGAACAAGTGGGTCAGGAATTCATCCAGGGGTCTTTTTCTGAGGCTCAAGTCTATGAAAACATTGAAAGGTTGCTTAGCTGCCATTGCTGGACCAAGTTTCAATGTTTGATTCTTCTTAATGTCTTCTGGTGAGCAGGTGTCAACCACGGCTCCAGACCACATCCTCCAGAAGTTCTGGGGAACATTCCGCAAATCCAGCACCTGCAGTTTCCACCTCCTGCGGG